AAGTCCCAAAATGTTTGGGGTTGGTAAATTTGTTTTTTAATGTTTAAAGTCTCTTATACTTATGCTAAGGCTGCATTTATTTGATCAAAAATACAGTAAAAACAATAATATTGTGAAATATTGTTACAATTTAAGGGTGTATTCACACCAGGAAAGTCCACTAGTTCACTTGCTTTGGTCCGGACCAAATACAATGTTGATTTTTTTTTTGTTTGTTTGGTGTGGCTCGCTTTCACACTATCCTTTTTGCAAGTGAACCAGAAATTGTAAACAAAACCACATGTGTGCTAAAGGTCATCCATTCATTGGACAGAAATTCTCAAGCGTACCAGAGTTCGTTTGGACCTCTTCAGCTGGGTCTCGGTCCGGTTGTTTGGTCCGCACCCGAGTGCAATTGCTGTATTCACACCTGCCTAAAAGATCCGCACCAAGTGGGGAAACAAACTTGAGTTTGATTCAATCGAACCAAACAAGAAAATAACTGTGGTATGAAGATGTTTTAAAATGCAATTATTTCTATGATGGCAAAGCTGAATTTTCCATTTCTCCCAGTGTCACACGATCCTTCAGAAATCATTCTAATATGCTGATTTGCTGCTCAACATCCATTCATTGGACAGAAATTCTCAAGCGTACCAGAGTTCGTTTGGACCTCTTCAGCTGGGTCTCGGTCCGGTTGTTTGGTCCGCACCTGAGTGCAATTGCTGTATTCACACCTGCCTAAAAGATCCGCACCAAGTGGGGAAACAAACTTGAGTTTGATTCAATCGAACCAAACAAGAAAACAACTGTCTGGTATGAAGATGTTTTAAAATGCAATTATTTCTATGATGGCAAAGCTGAATTTTCCATTTCTCCCAGTGTCACACGATCCTTCAGAAATCATTCTAATATGCTGATTTGCTGCTCAAGAAACATTTCTCATTATTATCAATGTTCAAAACAGTTGTGCTGCTTAACATTTTTGTGGACATCATGATACATTTTTTTTTTCAGGATTCTTTAATAGAAAGTTCAAAAGAAGAACATTTATTTGAAAAACAAATCTTTCGCAACACTATAAATGTCTTTATTGTCACTTTTGATCAATTTAATGCATCCTTCCCAAAAAAAAAAAAAAATTATATATTAGTATTATAGCATTATTAGTATTATAGTAGTATTATTATGTATTCGTATATATATATATTAATCATCCCAAACCTTTGAATGGTAGTGTATTAACTGATGTACATACTCTAAAATCCAATCACAAGTGGTCACATTTGAGATGCATGTTAATACTGGGTATAAACAGATGTTGTGTTGTTTCAGGATGAGCTGTTAGCTGAACTTGAGGAGCTGGAGCAGGAAGAGTTGGATAAGAACCTTCTGGAGATCGGAGACAATGTACCACTGCCAAACGTGCCCTCTACATCCTTACCTGCCAGACCAGGTACTAAACACGCACACACACACACACACACACACACTCACACTCACACACACACACGCGCGGTGTTTGGAAACATAAGTCTCCTGATATCATCTAGTTTTGTTTTAGACAGTTCTAGTTTTTGTAGTTTTAGTTCAAGTTTTTGGACAGTGTGACATGCCAACTGCATAAGCTGATGCTGAAAGAAATGTGGTGTAGAAACAATTTTTACTTAGAAATTGCTAGTAAATTGAATGGAACATAAAATGTTTATGTAAAAAAAATATATATATTTTAGGTAACGCTTTAATTAAAGCCTTTATGTATAATGCATTATAAAGGTATTCATAATGTAGGTTGTAATGCATTATGTATTTTTATAAATAATTGTAACCAAAGTTAAAATGCATTATAATATGTAATGGTTTGTTTGTCATGTGGTTTAATGCATTGTACTTTCTAAAGGTGTAACATTGAATAGATAAGTATTATAATGTATTATAAATATGGTCACAATTATTCATGAGATCATACAGTTCATTATAAGTTGCATTACAAGGCATAATTAATGCATTAAAACTACTTTTATAATTCATATATTTAAAGGCTTTAAGTAAAGTGTTATTGTATTTTCTTAGCAAACCTACTATAATAGTTGTTTTATTTACTTTGAAAAATAGTGTATGTGATTGTTTTAATAGTTGAAATTGTTTGTAAACAAATAACTTATTTGAAAAACTTTTTGGACAATCATAACCTTAGTATTACATTGTAAATTCAATCAGTAAGATGTTACTTCACATGTTACTAATATTATGTATATGATTCAAATCATGGCATATTAAGTAGGTTCTGGTCATTTTGATGCTGCAAATCGCTCTTTCAGACTCCTGCAAACGTGATTATAATGGCCTTGTATAAAATGCAGTTCTTGAATGTCTTTTGTGATTGCAGCAAAGAAGAAAGAAGAAGAGGATGAGGATGACATGAAAGACCTGGAGGCGTGGGCTGCCAATTAATGCTCCCCGAAACCCATACACACTATACAAGGCATAAACCTCACCAAGATACCTGTTACTAAAGGACCTGGAAGGACTCTTCAGTATGTTACAGTATGACGTCTTTGTGTCTAAAATAGGTTAATATATAAACACGCACGAGAAGCAAACAAATACATGAATGCAACTGCTCAAAAAAGATTATAAATCTCCGCTAGGCTTACTGTCAACACACTCATCTAAGAAAGTCTGAGATTTTGCCTCATTTCTCCTCATCTCTGGATTGTTCAGACATGAAAAAGGCTTGTTGTAGATCAGTGTTTGTGTGTTCGGCACTCCATTGCCTGTAGAAGTAGTCATATATTTTCAAACTTCCATCACAAGGAATCCTCCGCTTGGTCCGAGAAACCAGAAAGCCTTTGCACGCAGGGGAAAGTGTCTGTAACGATCTGTCGTGTTTTTGGAGAGAACATGTGGTATATATTACCAATTCATTTGTTCACAAGTTCTGTTAAAAGCACTATAAGCCCCGTTTGATTCCGTGCATCGAGCATTTCAGTGCAGGTGCTTCCCACGTCCAATATCCGTAGTGCCCACGGGACATCCTATATCAGCACTTAGGCTTTATGAGTACAAGACTTGCTCTCCGTTTCGGGACTGAGGTGGGCATGAAGGTTTGAGGATCCACCTCACGTTTGAGTGCTGCTGCAACAGTAAGACTTTTACTGTACCTTGCATCTCTCTTTAATGGCATGACGGTTTACGGTCTCCTGACAGAATGGGATGCTTATATGAAATAGGTCTCTTCACTCAAGAAACGTGTACTCTATTTGAGATATTTCAGAAATACTGGCTCGTGATTCTAAGATATCTTTACACTAGAAGTGGTTTCTTAAACTGAGTGTTGTATTAGGGGGAAAAACAACAAGGTTTGTTGTAGATTTCAGACTGCACAGATTCATTTAATATCACGCTTTATTTTACAGAGTGCACTATTATGAGGCTCTGGTTTTATCCATTTTCCTCTCTTGAGAGTCTATAAAACATTTGAGTATTGAATATTGAGATGTGTGAGAAACACTAAACACATAACTATGTTTATTTATCCGGCTCAGAACATTTCATTCATGTTGTTTATTGTTTGTTTGTCTTTTTGACACTCTCATTTATGCCTTTCAACCTTACACCTACATTAAAGTTTTGCCAGATTAACACCTCTCTGGATTTGGATTTGCGCATTAAATGTTTCTTTCCATTATTTGCCTAATATTTCTTTATTTATGCGCTTCAAAGCATCAGCGCTCACCTTGAACATGTGTTTTTGTCTACTGAATATTGAACATGAATTTGTAGAAATAGTGTCCAGGCAGGAGGACAGAGAGTATACTTTTTATTTAAAAATACCCACCGGTCCATTACATGCATACAGTCAGTAATCTTTCAGAGACACCAATGGAATATATGATGGTGCTTTTCTGTTTCTTTCTTGCAATGGAAAGGAAAATGAAGACTTTGAAGCAACATGCTATGATCTGTAGTAATGCAAACTGATTTGTACAGAATGTGAAAGACGAAGCTTTAATACATTTGTATGTTGTCATTATCTTGTAGGTGCTGGATTTATCATTGTTATATCATTATCGTTATAATATCTATTATTATTGTTATTAAAATATTTTGACTGAGTTTCTGGTGGTCCTCGTACATGAACCAAAATGAGGCTTCAGCACAGTACAAACTTACCTGGAATAAATGGTATTTCACAATATTACTGTTTTTACTGTATTTCTGAACATATAAATGTACTGTTTGTGATCATGAGACTTTCAAAAAGCATTTAAAAAATATTACCAACCCCAAACTTAGTTTAAGTAATAATCTACCTCAACATTTAAGTCAGTTGCACGATTCTGACCTTATATTGTCCACTAAAACATTTAATAATTTTATGATTGACAGGGTGTTTAGTAAATCTGTCAATGATATGTAAATCTTAAGTCTTTCAGGTTTAATTTCACACAAAACCACAAACCAGACAATTTTCACATATGGGGATAAACATGGGGCATATTTTCAGGACATATTGAATGGATTTTATACAGCCCTAGTGTTATCCAAATAACCCAAGATAACCTCCGTTCAACTGCTACTGTTCATAATGACTCTAATTTATTGGGATTTTACTAAGAAAAATTTATTTCCTCTTTTTATATTGCTTTGTTTCTAATGGAAAGCAACTCAAACTTGTTTTGTCAACATATTCTGCTTTTTAAACTCGTTTTAAATTGAAATATTTATTTTAAAAAGCACCTTTCTTCTCACAAGCTCAGATCCGTCCTCATGATGTTAAATATTAGTAAAACACAAAAGCAAGTTGAAACTTGTAGCCTGCTGGTATATTAACCGAGATCTCCACATTCCAAATGATATTACAAACCTTTAACCACCGTGGATTCTCATTGGCTATCGTAGCAAATGAACACGCCCACGATGGTTTATTTAGAGCGATAAGGCGGGGAATATTTCGGCCAATGAGAAACGAGAGGCGGCATGATCTCATGAATATTACAACAACCGGTTTGTTCACACTTATATTCAAGTTCACATAAGAAGTTACCTCCTTCTGCACTTTCTCGGGTCCACAGCAGGGCTCAAGACCAACCCATATCAGGCTTACCTAACGACAGCACAGCAAAATGTCAGAGAAGCTTCCATTCAAAGTTGGTTAGTATAAGTTTATTTGATTATTGACTTTAGACCATGCTCGATGCTGTTACAAAATCATGCAATCATGTTTTTACCGCCAATGCTAATTAGCTAATTCCACTCTGACGATTTCTTTCTAATAATCTCTCTAATAGATTCTCTATAAACTATCAGATTCTCTGCAAAAGGGTGTTGGGTTGTATTTTTGAGCGAGCATGGATTGTTGCAGACCTTCAGTTGCTAGTGCTTCTGTATCACATGGCAGTGGAGGCGTCATTGTCAACGCTACCTTGCGCGAGACGCACTATTGCAAACCCACCCCCATAAAGTCACTGTTTGCGCACTTAATATGTCTAGTGTATTATTACAGCCATTTCATGGTTACTCACAAAGTAGTATATATGATTTTATATCTAACACCTGTCAAACAAGCTAGCGTGGTTCCATTCGGGAGACGTGAAGAAGAAAGTTTGGAAGTTGTAGTTTTTTTGCGTGCACTGTAGAATCTCCTCCGTATGAGATATCCTGCGCTACTGGACTACATTTCCCACAATGCAGTAGTCGAACGAGCCGCCACTTTTCGTTGATCGTAGTCGTTCGTTTTTGCGAATCGGTTCTTTTGAACAGTTCGTTTAGTTCATAAAATGGCTCAGCTGCTCTTTACGTCATCACGTGGACCCTGACACTTTTCAACGTTCAAATAAAGACATGTTTGAAAATATTGCTGTCTAATAAGGTTTTTCAGTCATGTTTTATTAATAACTGTTAATAGCAATTGTATGTATCTCAGTCAGAACATAGTCATTTAGAGCCTAAATGTGATTTGCATATACATTAAACAATATTAAACTTAATTTACGGGCTGATTGATTTATTTATCTACTGACTGAAAAGTATTTGCACTGTTTACTTTTTAATAAAACTAGCTACGTTTCGTTTGCATGCTACTAAACGTAAACATATTTCCAATTCTTCTCAGTGAAACCCTCGGCTCACTCCAAATGGTTTTGTGAATCAGTTCAGTCGATTCATTGAAAAGGTCCAGCTCAAAAGAACGGTTCCTCTGCTCGTGGTTGACCAAAAATGAATGGCATGCGCTTAAAAGGTGTATTTTGAGTTAAGACCAATTAAACGCACTACGTTCATATCTTCGCTGTTGTTTTTGCGTCGCGTTTATTCGCACGTCAGCACAGTTATGGTGACCGTCTGGTGCAGATAAGGCACAAGTAATTCAATAGTAAATCCAGCTGGATTTTGCTCCCTAGTCTTAGGAGATCAGAGTTCAGTTTTTCAAAATCAGTGAATGAAATGTCAAAGTGCACACTTATTTATTAATAGCCCATTCTGAAGGCACATTACACGGTTTCCATGCTCATTGGAAAACCTGGAAGTAATAGTAGTGGGAAAAGTATGGGAATTAGTAACATTTTAAGTCATGGAAATTGGAAATTCACTTGGCTAAAACAGCATCTTCATGTTAAACTAAACAAATACTCTGAATTGTTGCCCTGATCTTGTTGTAGGTTAGTGGTCACTGTCAAAAATGTAAATGAAAAATGCCTTTTCTGATCGAATACCATTTTCTTTTGTAATTACATATTTGTTTGGCTACTGAATACTAGGGCAGATGTGTTTTCCTCCATGTCTGCAGTTGTAATATCCCTGGTAATTAATTATAATCAGTGCAGACTGAGAAATGAATATCTTTTGGGTTGCCTATTGGTTGCTAAGTGTGCATATATATCTTAGCAAGTGTGCATGCTAAGAAACCAAGCACCATCTCCTCAACCAGTTCAAGACATGTTAGGTATGTGGTTTTAGGTGTCATCTGTTGAATTCCTATTCTAGATGTCAAAATATGAGCCTGACACTTCAAAGACTGCTTTAACTTGCATGTTATAATGGACATGTATGTTTCTTGGGATTTGTAGTTATTATTTAACTGTGCTCTCAAATGCTTGTGCAAAAGTTTAGACAATCTGTACTAGTTTGACTATTTAATTGAATCATTCTTTCCGTTTGCTGAATTTAGCTTTAGTTTTATGCATAATCTGTTGTAATTTTCTCCCTGTTCAGCTGACATCAGCCTGGCTGAGTGGGGACGTAAAGCCATCGACATAGCCGAGAATGAGATGCCGGGTCTGATGAAGATGAGGGAGCTCTATGGCCAGACCAAACCCCTGAAGGGCTCTCGCATCGCAGGCTGCCTGCACATGACTCTACAGACCGCTGTGCTCATTGAAACCCTGACCGCCCTCGGAGCTGAGGTGAGGATGCAAATGCAAAACCATTAAAGAAATAGTTATTACTCAAAAAACGAATTTATATCTGCTCTAAAAAATATCATTTTGCGCTAGGCTTGATGTTATTAGATTATGAACTGTCTTGGTATGGAAAAGAACTGCATTAGCGTTCTTTAAAATGTCATCAAATTCTCAATAGCTGCTTTAAAATTCTCCTTTTGAGTAAATAATGACACAATTTTCATTTTGGAGTGGAATATTACTTTAAAACCATTTAAAAGTAGGGTTTAAATTTTTTAAATTCAGCAATTACTGAACGTGTAGTACTTCTTTGCTGCTACTAACAAAAAGTAATGCTATTGCTATATGGTTTTTTTGGGTCAGTAGCTTTTTCTTGTTGAAATAGATTAAAAATTGTACTATTTTATTAGTATTTCATATAAATACTGTTTTTTGAACTTTCTATTCATCAAAGAATCCTGAGAAAAAAAGTCATGTTTTTTTTGTGGGGGGAAACATGAAGCAGCACAACTGTTTTCAACATTGATAATCATAAGAAATGTTTCTTGAGCAGCAAATCAGCATATTAGAGTGATTTCTGAAGGATCATGTGACACTGATGACTGGAGTAATGATGCTGAAAATTCAGCTTTGATCACAGGAATAAATTACATTTTAAAGTAGATTACAATAGGAAACCGTTATTTTAAATTGTATTAATATTTCACAATATTTACTATATTTTTGATTAAAAAATGCAGTCTTGGAGAGCATTAGAGATTTTTAAAAAACCTTACTGACCCTGTATGCCATGGTATTCTTTGAAACATAAATACGATGTTTCATATTATTACAACATTATTCCGTAATTTTATCATGGTATTACCACAGTACTTTGTTTGGAAAGGGAGAGTACCTTCACATTTCTTCACATTTTTCCTACTACTAGATGGCTAACCTTGCTGTCTGACTCAAATGCATCATTCTTCTTATCCCCTATTTCCTCTGTCAAACTGGAATTTCCCAGCCCAAGGCCATATTTCATCCAAAAGGTTATGAAACTAATGAATGAAGTCTGTACAAGTCACATGATCTCATTCCTTCTCCTTGATCTCTGTGTGCTCCAGGTCCAGTGGTCCAGCTGTAACATCTTCTCTACGCAGGATCACGCAGCGGCAGCCATTGCTAAATCTGGCGTTCCAGGTAACAGGTGTTGGTGTGCTAGACTGCTGTAATCCTGCCCACTGTTTGCTCTAAAGCTGCGTAATCTAATCTAGATAAGGAGAACTCCGAGTGCTCCATGCTGGGTAAACCTAGAATCAGCACAAATGGGTTTATTCTTTAGATTTTTGAAGGACTAACATGCAAGAGTGTTCAGGCAAAGATAACTTTATCAGCTTCATCATTCCAGCTTTCGGTTGATGAAAGACTTTTCCCAAGCAGTTTTTAAGCACTGAAACCTTGCAAGGGCTACAAGCTAAATGGTTTTTAGTGGTAAAAATGTTAAACCTTTTATAAAAGATTGCAAAAACATTTGTCTGACAACATCAAACAGATTTTTAGCCTGTGCTTTTCCGGTTTCACATGTAAAATGCCTATTTTAAATCTCTTCTTAGGCAGCGCTCCAATAAGCACAACATGCACATAATATTGTAATAACACATTAATTGGATCTGTTTTTAGTTAGATTCAATTGCTTGTCAATACTTTTAAGTGTAGAATGAATTCTAAATATATTTATAATCAACATGTCTCTCTCTTTGTCTGCTGTCTTGGATGGATTTGTTTTTCACTGATCACAGTGCATTATGAGATTGCCCTCTCCACAAAGGATAAGCCTAAGTGCAGTGCTGCCTAAGAACTTGGCCTTAAGAAGGTATTTTAGTTAGCGGCATAATTATGCTGACAGCCAGCTGTAATCGCTTTCGTGTCATGACTGAGATGCATTAGAATTCTGCTCACTAGTTCACTATTTAGTTATATTAGAAAATGTATTTAGACCTTTATACATAGTTTTTTTTTTTAGACTAAATTCCAGATGCAGCTTATAAGT